AGAACATGTAATTAGTAATTCCCATACATAGTCTGGTTCAGAGCACAGAACAAAAACAAAATAATAATTTCTGTGACTCGTGACAACCTTTAGTGAGACTTCAGACGTAATATTCAACTCACAAGAATAACAACAGTTTTCACTTCACCTTCAAACTGGCCCAATTGCCGGATAAAACTCTGACCACCCTTGCTTATATTTGTTTATTGCACAGTTGATTATCAAATTGGATATGGAAAAATATACGCAGCAATTACGGACAAGAAAGTGCAAATGAAGTTCTTCAGTAACCTCCAAACACAACTAAAAGCATCGTGTCTAGCAAAAAAGCTGAGACGTTCAAACCGACATTATGCACAAGTGTTAAAAAAACAAAGAACAAAAATAAAATAAAAAAACAACAAAATAGCAACAAGGAGAATAAGCACAGATTACTGGAGATATCAAATAAATAAAAACATTGAGTAGCACCAGATACACAACAGAGGAAGCAAAAACTGGCCACAGTCTGGCTCATGGATACAAATGAACAACAGCAGACGATGACAGGCCTAATTTCATCTGTCTTTCCCCCCCCCTTTCCCAGAAAATTTATGGAGAAAAAATTTTCCAGAATAAAGCACTGCTGACCACTGAGCATTTGCACCCTAAAACACCTGCACATTTTTACCCTAAAACCAGCTCTTATGTTCACATCACACTATGAACATCTCGATTCATGGATTTTTCCTTTAGAATGAGATACTCCCAGAAAAAAAATAAACAAAAAATGCACCCCCCAACTAACACCAAAACAACCCCATTGTAGCTTTTGAAGGTTTGGTACTGCACATTCATCGACAATTCCAAATACTGATTACTGGCACTTAAAGTACACAGTACATCTATACCCTGAACTGAACAAAATGTTCTGAGGAAAAAAAAAAGAAAGAAGAGAAATCCCACCCTGAAATTGTTATAGAAAATAAGGAGAATCTCAATCATACCACAATCACCATATTAAAAAAGAAAGCATCATCTCACAACACTCAAATGATGATGGTTGCATGACAGACATCTTTTAATCCAACCCTAAGCCTGAGTGTGTATCGGAACGATAACTTTGCCATTACACGTCAAAGGGAATCCCAATCTACAAAACTATACACCCCACCCCCCTCCCCTAAAGACACAAATATACAATGAATTTAATCAAAAGCTGTACTCAACAAATTTTTTTTATATATATGCAGAAAGAAACATTCTACTTTTGTCACAATCAACACACATTTCTGTACCTCTAACTACTTCAGGATGAAAACCATTTTCTTTTTCTGATTGCACACAAAGTAAAACATTATAATTGTATTAAACAGATAAAAGCCAGTGGAAAGTCTAGAGGGTTACATAAGTATATCAGTACAGAACCACCATTATTCATAACTATATGAACTGAGGACTAATGTACAGTAACATGAAAAAACTAGAATCCAATGACAAGTCACAACTCAAACATACACAATAGAACATGAAAATGTTGTTTTTTTTCATCAACAAAACACAAAAACTAGGGACATTGAGAACAAAATGGCCTTGAGCATTTAAAAATAGCTAACACATGGATTATGTAAAAACTGTTAACATATGCACTTCATAAGTATGTATACTGTGTACAAACAGTTATTGTTCTCTGACTGTGTATGTTCTATATACATAGATGTCCCCATTCAACATCAGCTCCATAGTCCACAAATCAAAAGCACAAGAAAGAAAATTCCTTCAAGCAGCGCAGGCAAGGAGTAAAATACTACTAAAAACAATAGACTCCCCCTCAAAAAAGGCTTTTTTTTTTTTTACAGACCTACCAACTGACCAGAATTTCTAGATCAGGCCTGACCCCAAAAGAGGCACGACGACTTTCCTTTTATTGACCCTTCACAGGCTATAATCAGTACATAAGTCAGAACAAAAAGAAGACACATTTAACGCACATTATCTAGAGGTCCCCACCCAAAAAGTGACTTATCTTTCAGATTTTGGCACTTGTGTTCACAAAAGGTTTACAGTATAAGTAACAAGAATACCCGTGCCAAGACTGAAGTGATGTGTGAACACACAGCAAGCAGACGCGATAAAGCTTGCTCTAAAAATAGAACACTTTGAAAAGGCAAAGAAAATAGGACCATGCAAGGCAAGTCTTCACGTTACCACCAGAAAAGCGACACGCCGACAAGACCACCGCCGTATGCACATCATACACTACATTTGTTCAAAAACAAATTGCCTGCAGCCGAGTGAAAGAATTACAGTAAATGATAACGGTGAATATAATAACAGGGGGGGGGGGGGCAAAAGTAAGCAACCATTACTGTAAGACATCTGGGCAGTTCTGAAGGCTTCCCTAGGGCAGTATACAATGCAACATGTAAATGATGAGATAGTCTCATATATACTTGAGTCTGGACAAAACACATCAACAACAAAATCATTCTCCTCCCACATCACACGCAAGCTAAGTGGTATATATATATATATATATATATAAATAAAACAAGGCCGATCACTCTTGTGTCAATCACACGTCACGTCCAAACATCATACGTAACTGTTCCTGCAAAAATTTAGTCATGCACAACATAATAAGTAGCGTAAACATGAGGTAAATATCATTCATTTCTTTTTAAAAACTTGACTGAAGAACTAGTTAAGAGACTGCGCATACAGACACAGCAACTGTTTGCTGGATGGTAATAAGCTCTAATGCCCAAATACAGGAGCCACTGTGAAAACGAGACAAATTATACAAGCTCTTTTCAGAAGGTCGTAGTAGTAGAAAGTCACTTCTACTTTCACACCACTTCCCCTCCCCCCTCCAGACACGAAGTCCAGAAGTGTACAAATCCTCCATGACCATTCACAAGAGCACCCTGATCGTGTCCATTTGTCCAATATCACTCGGTAAACACAGAAAGAAATTTTCCATTTCACTCCGTTTTCCAGTGCAGTGTCAACACAAACATGTCAAAAACAAATAAAAACTTTCTTTGATGACCAACAAAAAAGCGCTACAACTTAAACTCAAAGCTAAAGAGATATAAAACAATTGCAGACTCACTAAAAGTTTCTAACTGAAGTCCACAATACAACAAACAAACAAACAAAAAAATCAACAAAATGCCATTGATCAGTTGAACAGAAGAAGCTACATTATAATCACTTGACAAACGTCAGAGAAAAGAAAAAAATAATAATTTGCAAATAGTGCATGCGTGCAACTTCACCAACTACACACAACAATGGTTAGAATTAACTAAATAACCAAGTCCAGAAGTGGCAGAGCTCAGAACCAGTAACGGGAGTCAGTTCACGAAGGTGTAGCTTTATGCGACAGTGACAAAGAGCATTTGTAGGAGGCCTAATACTTTACACAGGGTACTATCATTATGGGCATTCTAAAAACCTCTAAATCCTTCCTTACAAAACTGTGCTCACAAAGATCCACACGTTTTCAGATATAATAGAACTTGATTTTTTACTTTCATGACAATTTTTCTGACTTTCAGACGTTCTTGTGATCAAAGTCCAAAGCTCAGACATAGAATAAAAAATCAACTGGTTACCTGACAACCAATGGTCACAGACATCTGAGAAATAAAGCCACTAACAACTTTTTATTTCATAGAAGACAAGAAAGTCTTTGACAATGTGACCCACTCTGGAACACACAAATCACAAAGCCCCAATAAGAGCAAGAATCTCCTGTCCCCCCCCCCTCCTCCTCCATATGTTGACAGAAAAACAACATTACTACTAAATCCCAACTGTAACCTTCATGGACCAACTCCCCCAAGCTATCCAAGACAACACCACTACTAGACAAACAAACAAAACGTTTCAAGAGAACAGAAGTGAGGAAAATCATAAGGTAAATTATATTTTTTATACTAGTGGCAATTGATAGATGTCCTCACATCTCCGCGATAGTCCAAAAATAGGAAATGATTCTTTTCAACTATATATGTGTCACGACGTGGTGGAATCAGGCTCTCGTCAATTTTTGGGCATGTAGAGTTATTGATATCATCTTAGAGCTTGTTCACTTGCCTTTATTTGGAAGGAAAAAAATAGCCTATTTATCTTAAATACAAATCGAGATATTTGCAATTGAAGGAGGTGGGGGCCACCTGGTTTCAGAGATAAAATCAGTGAGAAAATGGCCGCCAAAGATCAGTTATTTCCTTCGCTTAAGAGTCTGTGGTAACTGAAAATTTACATTTTTAACCCCTTTAATCAACGTTTTTCAGTAAAACCCACACAGAAATGTGTTCTTTAATGGACATGAAAGTTGTTGAGCCAAAAAACAAAAATTCAGTTAAAACTCACAAATATGAGGAAAAATGCCAGTTTCTTCACTTTGATTATTTTGACGAGAGCCTGATTCCACCACGCTGCCTCACATATATATTTAAAAAAAGGCAACCCAAATCTATGAAATTAAATAAAACCTAATGATTCAAGTTGACTAGATTTGTCTTTCCCAATTGCTATAGAATTGGATATAGTTTGCAATATAATAACACTATGTCATAGTTCATTACATCATTAAAAACAGTGTCACTCTGTCGCGAACTAATTTCTTTAGAGACAGAGTTGAAACTGACTTTAGAAACCCCCCCCCCCAAAAAACCCAGACCCCAAACCCCCTTGCTTCTTAAAAAAAATCATCCCCAATAGGCCAGCGATAAACCTACATTTTTCAACACAACACCTGGAGAAATACGTTCTCAAAAATGAAAAAAAGCAAGAGCTGTCTGTTGACACTTTCTTACAAATGACTTCACCCCACTAGTGGGGGGCTTGCTGTGTGAAGAGTGTGGAACCCCCTCCCCCCAAAAAAACCCACAAAAACAAACCAAAAGCAACCCTAGGATAAAGTGTGGAGGAACAAACAAACAAGTCATAGGAACCAAACAGGCCATCTCATAAAACATGCTGTGGCATTTGACCCCAACCTATTTTAGTTTTTTTTTGTTCATGCCTTGTTTGCTACAACTCAGTTTCATGCATAGGTCCCCCCCACAATAATTTACTGCTATTATTAAAATAAGGGAATCAAAAGGATAACCTAGAAAGGAATTTGTCTAAAACTTTGATAATACATTGAAAGGGGGCAGCAGCTGAAAATTTCGCTATCTGATCAAGAGTGTGTATCAAAAAAATGTAAAACAAACCCAAACATGTCCCACTCACAACCATCATTCACAACACTTTCACGCCAAATTGCATCATTCACACGTTAAAAACTGGCCGTCCCATCACAGCATGGTGCACTTGTGTTGCTTTCTCCTGATTGGCTGAGGCTGAAGCACGGCCCTCACGGCTTCATCAAAGACCTATGACAAGGATGGGAGGGAGAAAAAAGCGGAGTTGTTGTCACCACATCATTAAAATTGTGTGTGTGTGTGTGAAATATGTACCTGTGTATTGTGAGTGTGAATTGTGTGTTTGTGTGAATTTCCCCCCATCAGCAGCCTCTTTGATTTGGTCATCTACATCAAAAGACCACATTTTAAAAAACTGGAGAGAGTGCACTATAATGCGGTCAAAAATTCGTGACGTAACCTATTGTCAAATATTTCCTCAACTCTTGAACATGGACTCTCCAGCTTTTGCGCCATGATTTGTCACAATTTGTCTTAACAGATCAATATTTTTATAAAGTCCTTTTAGCTGTATTCTAGAAAATTCCATAATAAATACTAATCAAAAATCCCAGAGGGTGGTTTTTAGATTTTAAAAGGTTTGCAGCTGGGGTAATATCGCTTTTAAATGCAAGTCTGTTTTTTTCTCAATGCGACATTATGCTTATTAAACGCGTTTTGAGATCATCTAGTGCACAAAAAGCTTTCATTATAAAATTAATTTATTGTGACAAGTTTTGCCATTAAACGGTGTCATTGGGCGAGCTGTGACGTAGGCCCTATGCATATATAAAATGAGTCACAACGCAGTGGAATCAGGCGCTCGTCAATTTTTCGGCATGTTGAGTTATTGCTATCATCTAAAAGCTTATTCACTCGCCTTGTTTTCGATTTTTTAAAATGCCCATCTATCTTGAGTAGAGGTTGAGATATTTGCAATTGAATGAGGTGGGGTCGCCTTGTTTCATAGGTAAAATTAGTGAGAAAATGGCCGCCAAAGTTAAGTAACTTCAATGGCTTGAGAGTCCATGAAAATTGAAAAATTACATATTCTGTGCCTTTAATCAGCGTTTTCAGTCAAATACACACCAAAATGTGTTATTATATGGACATAAAAGGTGTTGAGCTAAAAAACAAAATTTCATTTAATATTGCCAAACTGGTGGAAAAAAGCCTGTTTCTTTGTTTTTATTATTTTGACAAGCACCTGATTTCACCACGTTGCCTCACAAATGTGTGTTAGAAGCGGGAAGTACTGTGAACAATCCAATTTTCCATGTGACGGAGATGTATATAATTCAATATTAATTTATAAAGGAAAGTTTATTTAATATCAATGTAGCCTCAACTGTTGTGGAAAAATATGATCAAGTTAAGACAAATTAATACAAACTGCTGTCGAAAGTATGGGTGACATTGATTCACCCGATAAAGAGATATTTGAAGATAAGTTGAGCCACAAATTTTTTACGGCACTATAAGTAATCTTTCTTTCCTTTTAATAAGGAAATGCAAAATGTAAAGTGCTTCATTACAAATGCAAATAAATATCAGCTCAATCATATTGACAAATGTGATCACTTTTACAGAGAAATCGATTGATTTCAAATCTTGTTTACTTTTAACTTGACTGAATGTTTCTGCCAACCACACAAATCTTTGCAGAGGGCTGCATTTGGTTTGCAAATAGCAGCCAGTTTGTTTTAGTAGAGGTTTTACGGAGCTCGCAACTGCATAAGGTCACATGAGCGCCAGAAGATTAGAGGTGTTACAAGAGAGAAACAAACATAAAAAAAGAACAAGGGGGAGATAAGGACGATAGATGTTTGATCGCAAAGAAGAAGCAAACCACACCAGAGCACCCGCCAACCACCCACGCAGACAGTTTGCACTACACTATATTACCCTAAAGGAAAAGGTTGCTGCTGATTGTCTCACCTGCTTGAGCCCCCGCTGAGTAAGGGCAGAACACTCCATGTACTTGACAGCCCGTATCTTGTTGGCTAGTTTGATCCCTTGCTCTCGCTTGACCGGATTCAGGCCTTGAGCTGTAAGACTCCCGATGGCTTCCTTATTTTCTCTAAGATCTATTTTTGTACCTGGAAACAAGGTATTTCAAAGTAAAAATCATTAAAAGGAACATATATTTTTGTATTAAATGTGATCAGTATCATTGGTGAGGCATGCTGACAAAATGAGTAACTTGGCTCATGACTAGCATTCTGTTACCACTTACAGACCAGAAAAATCCCGAGCACTGCAGCTATGCAATTTCTTCAAACCTTGACAAGAAGCTTATTTTTGTTGTTGTTTCATTGTTTGATTAAAGAAAAGCACATTGATGCACTTATTCAGTGCCCGGAAAAAGCAAGACAGACAGATAGAAACAAACCAATGAGGAATAGTGAAGAAATTAGACCTGCAATAGCACCTTGCAACCATCAGCTGATGAATAAGCAAACAAAGTGATCCATATGGTTTCTAATTTTTTCATGTTCGCTTATTGGTCTAAAAATAAGACCTTTCACAAATCAGCATCCTTTTCTGATAAAGAGGATACTACTCTTCATTATCGCCATCGTCAAACACATTTGCATAAGACATTTTTTGCTGTTTTGAGAAAACTTATAAATACATACACACACTTTACCTCTTGTGCAAAAGTGAAAATGTCTTGACTTTGAGTAAACAGAAGCACATCAACACTTTATTGGTCATACATTGCTCGGAAGAAGAAGCAAAACAGATAGAATGAAACAACAGAGGGAAAGAAATAAAGTAGGACCACCAGTGGCATCCTCGAACCACCCGCCGAATCGAAAATGCCTCAATAATAAGAATTTTAGTACAAGGAAACAAAACCCAGCTATACTGATGATATCAAACAAGTTACAAGCATTTGCGAGGCATCGGGGTGAAATCAGGCGCTCGTCAAAATAACGAACTTTTTGGAAGATGGGCCATTTTTTTTCTAATTTTCTGTTTTTGGCTCCAAACCTTTAACATCAATTTAAAAACACAATTTTGTGTGGATTTTACTGAAAAATATTGAATAAAGGCACAAAAATGACAATTTTCAGTTTCCAAGGACTCTCTGGCGTGAAAGTTACCAAACTTTGACGGCCATTTCCTTGGCAATTTTACCCCTGAAACAAGGCATCCCTGACCTCCTTCAATTGCAAACATTTCGACTTTTATTCAGAATAATTGGATATTTTTTTTCCCCAAAAGGAAGGCAAATAAACAGGCTTTAAGATGATACCAGTAACCCCATATGCCTAAAAAATTGACAAGCGCCTGATTCCACCATGTCGTGACACATTTTTATCATATCAAAGACTACAAAACCTGAAATAAGAATGACTTGGCCAATTGTGTTATGACCATGACGATATGGGTGTCCAATAAGAAAAAAGACCTTTCACAAATATAATCCGGTACTTTGAATAAAGACACAAAAATGACAATTTTCAATTTCCAAGGACTCTCAGGCTCTGGAAGTTACAAAACTTTGACGACCAAAACAGATCTCTTTGCTTGTTTGAGCAAACAGAATCATATTAACACAACAATGGGCAGTTAGTGCAGGAAAAAGGAAACACAGACAGAATCCTGGCTGGGTCGTACAATGAAACAGCTCACAATCACAGCAGACTCACCTACTACTAATACAGGAGCCTCGGGACAGTGGTGCTTGATCTCTGGATTCCACTTTGTTAAGACATTTTCGTACGACGAAGGACTCACAACACTAAAACAAATCAGGAACACATCCGTCTGCAAAGGGAAACAAAGACAACAATGGTTACAACAATCTTCAACTTTTCTCAGTTTCACAATTGAGATGTTCATTTTCACAATTCATTTTTAGTATATTAAGAGTCCAGTAGAATAAATAAATAAATAAATAAATAAATTGCATTTATATAGCGCATTTCCACAAAGAAGTGCTCAAAGCGCTGTACAATAATACAAAGAACATATAAGCGCACAGCTCCTATAGTAATCCTCTTTCTTTCTCTCTCTCTCTCTCCAGTACATTCTTGAGTAAAGACAATCCCACAAAGCTTACCCAGACACATTCGCACACATTGATGAATTCACACAGTCATAAATTCTTACAGAACAGAACAGCATGAATAACCAGACAAATCAAGCACTTACAAAAAATGAGTTCTTCCCCCTTATTTGCATTCTTAAAAAGTCAAACTTTCTTCTCCGCAATTGATCCCATGAATAACTTCGTTAAGTCCTGTGCAATCATTGCTGCAATGTAAGGTGAAAGAAATGCTTCACTCACTGTCAGATAGACTTTCTGTGAAAGCTTCAAAAAACCTGTGTGAGACACTTGACAGCTTGAAACTGCAACCACACTACAACTCGTAAACCCACTGAGAGGGCAGGAAGGAAAACTTCCGAAAGATTGCATCGCTTTATTACAAAGAACAACAAAACAAAAAAAATGCCTTACCTGGGGATAACTGAGAGGACGTAGTCTGTCATAATCTTCCTGTCCCGCCGTGTCCCACAGCCCCAGACTGACCGGCACTCCGTCCACCATCATGTTCGCCGTGTAGTTGTCAAACCTGGACACATCAACACAACATTAGTTTTTTAAAAATTAGTAAGAGTTCTACGGGACCTGCAACACAATAAGGTTATATAAGTGCAGAAGATTAGAGGTGTTACAAGAGAGTAACAAACACAAAAAAGGAGGAGGAGAGATCAGGATGATATACGTTTGATAGGAAAGAAGAAGAAAATCACACCAGAACACCCGCCAACCACCCACTAACACAGCATTAAGAACTGTTTTTGATCTCTTTTGAATAAGAACAAATCTGTTTTACATGCTAAAATAAACAAGCTAATTGAATCAAGAAGACACAGAGAAGTGACATCACATACTCTCTTTTATAAAATTTTAAAACAGGTAGCCTTTTGTGATACTGAAAACTAAAGTGTGTAATAGACATCTCTTAAGACTACATCATATTTTGGGGTCCAACACCTCCAAGTTTTACAAAAACTCAAGCTTGGAGGACACACCCGCAAATATGACACGAGACAAAAGTTGGTTCCTGAGCACACAATTTGTCTTTTGAGTGCATAGTGCATTCAGTTAAAATTGTCTTGAATATTTTAATATATTTGAAGTCTAGGGTAGCAAACATAAATCAAAGGAAAAGCCTCCCAAACCCCACAGAATTATAGACAGCAAAGAAATGTATTGATTCAACTGAAGGCATAAACAAGGAATTGCCATACATTATGTGAACTGACAATTACAATTCGAGAGCAAAAAAAAAAAAAGAATTACATTTAAGTTCCGTCAAAGGTTGTTATACAGGGGGAAGAAAATAGTAAAATTTTTAAAAAATGACAACCAAACCTACAGCACCCACCAGCAGCCTGAGCTTCAGTTAAGCAAAGCACATCAACCAAATAATGGCCATTTAGAATTAAGTGCATGAGAAGGTTAGACATATCATGCAGACACAACAAAGGGAAAAGAAGTAACACCTTCATGGGGGTGGGGAGGTCCTAAACTACTTGCTTGCATCCACTGCTTGATATTTACAATGCAAATCATGGTAAACAAAAACAAATGCTCAAAGTAAATCATATCATATAAGAACACAAATACAGTCGAACCTGTCATAATGGCCACCTGTATAGTACAGCCACTTTCCACCCCTCCCCTCCCCCCCTCCCGTGCTTAAAAAAATACAACAGCACTGTGTAAAATGATAACCTATTCAATACAGATGCGACCACTGTATTTCACCAACGCAAAACCACAGATGGCCATTGCTCAACACTTCGTCACAAATTATAAAACAGCCCCCGATGCTGTGGATGAGCCGTATTCATCTATACAAGTGTATTCTTCATTCTCATTTAGGTCTTTAGTTTAAAAAAAAATAAAAAATGGCAGGGTGTAATTTGTAATTTGGGCATAATGCAACACCCATTTAAGTATGAAAATTACCATTGCCCCCCCCAAAGCAAGTCTACACACTATGTAGAAACACCAAAATGGGTAAAGCAGGTAAAAAATGGACTTTAAAAAACCCATCAAACATTTTTGTTCGATTTTTTAAATTTACAGATGAACCTTTGAAAAATAAGAAAAGAATACTCACACTGTGGGGACATACTCCCCAGGGAAGCTGTCGGTGGTGTAGGAAATGAGCATGCACGTCTTTCCCACTGTCCCGTCCCCCACCACCACACACTTGATGGGTCGGCCCTGCGCCATGTCCGTCATGGTGATGCCTCCGTTCTGCTCCTGTCCTCGTCCGTAACCCTCTCAACCTTGTGTCTGTCAGACTGCCCCGGCTGGGGGGAAAGAATGCAGATCTGTTTCGCGTTATAATTCATTTCTGCAGTGTAAGGCATGTTCCAATTGACCTTCGCTCAACTTTTGCAATCTTTCTTTCTGTACGCATCCTTAGGGCAAAGTAATATTGCTTTCATTTACAAACAAGTTGTAACAAATAGGAAATAGAGAGGTAATACTTTTGAGCACAAAGTAAAAGTTGATAAACTGTGTGACTTGGACACTTTTAAGACTGCCTGAATCCATGAACTAAAAACTTAACTTTCTTGTGCAAGATGAAAGCATCCTAAATCCTTGATCAATAAGTAACAGTTAAGTTATTAAAAAAAATAATCTCTTTCCTGTTGGAGCCATAATAGGAGTATCAGTTCACAACACACGCCTCACTTTGCACAAATAATGTGGCATTGTGGTGAAACCAACTACTCGTCAGCCTTTTTCTGCCCATTGGGCAAAATCTATTACATTATATTTAATTCATTTTTGCTTTCCACCTGTTATGTCTATGTCGGATTTTACTGAAAGACATTGATCAAAGCACAAAAAAATGTAAATTTGTAGTTATCAAGGGCACTCAAACTTTAGATGTCACACAACTTTTACGGCAATTTTCTTGCTAATTCTACCTCTCCCACACCAGGTAATCCCACCTCCTTCAGTTGCAAATAATAACAACTAGCTGAGTACCTCCCTTCAATGAACCGACTCAAAAGAATCGATCGTCAAGTCATTGTGGGACCAGTGCGCACTGCATGTGAACGGAAGCCTCACTTGTTTACATTGGCTTCTTAGAAGACAGACTTTCGCAAGATTAGATCTAAACGAAACTAATGAAAAATTGAAAAGCGAACTACAGTGACTTCAGACTCCTTAATATGCTGTGCACCATTTAAATGATTCTGAACCACCGTTAATATTTTCAAATTTGAAAGTTAAGTGGTTAGGGAGATTTAGGCGCCCAAAGTGACGAACTTTCACAAATATAATTAAATAATAAGTTAATAGATGCATTTATTATCTTATACAGCGCTCTATCCCATACAAGTATATAAGTTTTACATTGATGACATGATCACTGAGTGTAATACTTCATTCAAACAAGATAAAAACATTTCACATTTTAACAAGAAAACCAGTTCAACCATATCATGCATGAGGAAGAAGTTTCTCAACCACACATTTTCTAACCTCAGGGACAGCAATGAAAACAAGAAGTATCAGCAACTGGCAACTACTAACACACTACGCTACAACTAAGACTTAAATGGCAAATTTTTACTTTCAATCCCGCACACAGATGTACTGCTTTTGGGGAACAAACAGGCTGCAGATCACATGATTGATATGGACACTAAAACTGTCGCAAATCAATTATTTTCGAGAAAATTTCAAACTAAATTGCAAAACATCAAATCATACGAACAATAGAAGCCTGCAACCCCGCCGATTTTAAGATTACCTCAGCCCCCCCCCAAATCCCCACAGATTGGTCCACAGCACGGAAATTACTGTGCAATTAAGAATAGTGTAATATAGTGCAAATAAAAATCATCAAAAACATCAAAAAGGTCGAAACAATACCTGCGCATTTGACTTTAAAAAATTGATGAGCATTTTTTTTCTTCATCAAAGTCAAAAGCAAGACAGGCTATTGGATGATACCAACAACTCCATATATACATGCCTAAAAATAGACGAGCGTTTAATTCCATCATGTCATGACACATTTACGCATCAGCAGAAGCTTGTTTTTATCTGATAAAAATCATACTTTCTGTGACTACAATTGAGAATCCAATTTTGTCCGAAATTTTGATAACC